CATACTCTGCCACTTAGGGGGCTCCCAGGCTGACCCTGGGCTAAACCTAATTCTAAGAAGGTCTTGTTTTTTTTTTGCTTCTTTGTGTCTTTCTAATTTGTTGACTGGCACACAAAGAAGTGGGCTGTCCTTAGTGAACTTTGTTTACTGATGTTTATGGTAGGCCTGTCCGTCATCTGTTCTTTTGTGGTTTTCCACATATGCAATGCCTTGTCTTTAAATAATGGTATTTTTGTTTCTCCTAGTTCCTCTCTTCTCTAGAAATTATCTGTTCTTCTTTATTTTATAATTGGAGACCCTGAGGCCCAGAGAGAAGCCACCTACTTGTCAGTAGCTTAGGCTAAGAGTCTAGACACCTACATGGGGCTTTCCATGCCACTTCTTTTGTTTTTCTCCCTCTCTGACCATCTTCTTTGCTTGCAGTTTTCAAGGCTGTGGGCAGAGGTAGGATGAAATGAGGAGGGACAGGGAGGGGCGGGGAAAAGGTACTCTAGCCCTTCAGTAGACTTTCCCTGCTGGCTTTGGGGTTCCCCAGAACCTGACACAGAGCTTTAGGTTGTGAGCTAGAAGCTGTTTGTGAAATCTGGTGGAGATTGGGATGGGGGGTGGCTATGGAAAGGGAAGTTGACGGAAGTTCCTGGGCAGAATAATAACAATGTGCTATATTCTAGCTGCAGCCTCCCTGCTGTGCCTCCCCCAAGCACTTTGCACATGCAGTGCAGACCGGCTGCCTGAGGGATCTCCAGGGTCTGAGCCCCCACTTGTGTGGACCTCTGTGTGCAGGCGGGAGCCTCTCAGTGTCTATGTAATTAAAAATGAGCATGCATCACTTCCCCCAGCAAGGAGAAGCTTCCACCTCGGGTGGGATGCAACAGCTGCTGGGTGGCTGTGTGACTGCATCTTTGTCCAGAGAGGTGAGTAAGAATGGGCAACAAAGGGTGAACAAAGAGGCCCACTGAAGCAAGAGGTAAGAAGGGTATACCAGGTAGAACCCATTTTTTTATGAGCCCAGAACTTAGATAGTAGATATACGGTACAGACCTTGACTTGCACCCATGACTTCTCCATTTGGGGCATTTACCACCTGGCACTAAGTAGACCTAGTCCCTGAGCAGCCTGGAGGTGGGGTTCTCCTTCGGTTTCTAGCCTAGCCTGGCTGTTTCTGTTCTTGCCCTACCACACTTCTAGCTGAAGCCAATACACAGGCTGATGTACTGAGAACAAGACACAGTATATTCAGATCCTTTCTTACCTCCCTACCCCTGAATTCAGAAAGATCTACCTGTGGGTCCTGAGAGAAAACCTTGGCCCATCATACCAGCCCAGCATCTTGTGGGAGCCCTGGGTAGTATGGGCAGACACTTGCCCCTACCCAAGAGATGGGCTTAGCCTGAGGTGAAGAATAAGTTCCCAGAGTGGCTGAGATACCCTCAAGATGGTAGCCTTGTGTAAGGTAGTGGGATGCTCTGTCTTTTGTCTCCCAGTATTTGGGTGTTAGTGGAGGGCATAGTAATAGTGGGGGATATGTTGAAGTCTCCCTTTCTTATTTCCATTTCTAGAAGGCCTGGAGGTGTGTCTGAAAGACTGGCACTCCTGAATCCAGTTTCTATCAGTTCCTGCTAAAATCTTGGCATGGCTGCCTGACTTCTGTTATGTGGCATAGACTGTGGAGGTCTGCATCTCTTCCTCCTTTCTAGAGGACCTGATGGTCTGTGTGTGTGAATGAGATGCTCTAGGGTAGGAGTTGTCAGATGACCAATAGCCTCGTGACCAGGAAGGACTTTTTGTTTTGTTTTGTTTTTTGTCTGGCATTGTTTCCACCTACTTTTTAGTCTCTTGGGATGTGGTATTCCAAGGCTGATTGGGACTTCAGGCCTGTCCATGCTCCCTTTCCCAGCAATACGAGGCTCTTGTGGCATTGAGCTGGTGTCCTTGGCCATTGGCAGTCTGCTCTCCCAGGGCTCCCTGGGGCTAGCTGAGGGAGAGGCAGCTGGCTTCACCTTCCTCCAATGATTTTCCAATATTTCCTGCCTCATCGGCATGCTGTTTGGGCAGCAACTCCTGCTGTGTAGTGAGGACCCAGAAGCCAGCCCATGGCTACCCTCTTTTTCCCTGGAGGCTGCACCTGTCTAGTTTTGAAAAGGCTTATTTTCCTGCCTGATAATTCAGGGACAGGGCATATGCTGGTTCTGACCCCTTTCTCTTTTATCTCTAGTTCTCATTAGACTCATCCTGCTTGGTGAGCAGAGCACAGAGCTGAGAGTGGTCTCCCAGGAAGGACAGCAGGGACAGCTATAGGCCCCTTCCTTGCCTGAGGGCTAAGGTAGAAGTTTTACCCTTTTGCCTTCTACATGCCCCTTCTTTTCTGATTCTGAGTCTGAATTTTGACAGGACCCAGTATGTGTTTTTAATGGTTTGGGGTTGAGCAGGCAATGGGATTTTAATTAGCTTTATGCCAGGTCCTGTTAGGTAGCAAGGAGTGGGCCACTGCTGGATTCAGGTCTGAAACAGGCCTGGGCAGTTAGTGTTCTACTCCCTATGTAGGAGGCTGTGAAGAGGTAGGGGTGGCAGAGAACTATAGCCAGGCCACAGTTTGCTCTCCATCCTCTGTCTCCCCCTTCTCTCTGTTCTCCCGATGGCTTTGAGATGAAGGCGATGGCAAGGATGGAGGATGCAGTTTCCATGGTAACAGGCTGTCCACAGCCAGGCAACTTCAGAGCTGGGCTCTCTGGAGGAGGCAGATGCGCAGAGCAGCCACAGAGATGCCTGCCAATGAGGGGGCTGGCAGAACAGGTGGCACAGGGTGGCTGTCTGGTGCTGCCCACCCTGATGCCCAGCCTAGAAGAGAAGAAAGAGCACTACCCCCTCTTCCAGAAAGGTTGGGAGGTAGCATAAGTTTGGTAAGGGTCAGGTCTGGGTGGGCTAAGAGCCTCATTGTCTCTGGAATCTCTGAATGGACACAGACTTTACTCTTGCTCTTGAGGTGGCCAATTGGTCATTCTGATGCTGCCAGTTGAACCTCTCAAATGCTCAGAGTATGGTAATGTTGGTGAATGCCATGCTCTGACTGTATTTGGGGACTGCTTATTTTTAACTACTAGGAAAGGAACTGAACCTTCTAGGAGCTCCCATGACTTGGGCAGTCTGGCTCACTGTGTTGAGTGAAGCACAGGTTTGGCAAGATACCTGTCCTCAGGTGCTGGCTTTGGAAGAGCCCCAGAGCCGAGTAGCTCCTATTTTTTTTTTTTTTTGACAGTATGGTCTGTTACTTCCCTGACAGTGCATTGTCCTCAGACTCCTCCTGAGAACTGAGCCTTCAGTAAGCATGTCCAGAAACAAAGGCAGCCATCAAAAACAAAACAAAAAGCTAAAATATATATAGAGAGACGACATGAGACTGGATATGGAGGAGTCCTGGAGAGCAACCAGACTGGCATGAAAGAGAGTCAACACTAGTAAAAATAATAACTGTTTCACTGACCTTAGAAGCATCAGGGCTAAGATGCTTCACTCTGTGTTTGGATGCATGGATACTCAGGAGGAAAGGCTTTCCCAGAATTACATATGGAGATTGAATCTGAGCTACCACTGACCTAGGCTGGACCACCTACCTCCACCGTGCCTCCTGGATACTCTCTCTCTGTCACTGAGGGTCCTAGCTGGGTCCTCGTTTCATACTTCTTACCTCTATATTTCCCCTCCATGAGTTCTTTTTAATTGGAGGAGGTTCCTCAACCCCTGGGTTGGCCAGACAGGCGGACAAGTGGAGTCCTGGAGTGGCTTCTCTTTCCAGGCGATAAGTCTCTCATTACTGTTAAGTGGAAGGCTCATTTTAGAGCTCACGGTGAGAGCCTGGCAGGTGCTATAAATAGCCATGTTGTGAAGGTTGGCGGGTGAGCAGTGACAGGGCAGGGGCCTCACAGTTGTCTTGGTGGGTAATTGTGCTCCATCACAGGAAAGGGAGGGCTGATTCTAGATCGAGAGACACTTGCTCCCTGTTCTGGTGGTTCCTGCCTGCCTCAGGGCAGCTTTGGCATATGTCTGCAGTTTTGACACACTGGGGGATAAGAAATATTGGTCTGTCCAGGCAAAAGGGAGTGGAGTGCCTGTCAGAACTTGGGGCCCTAGAAGTTGGTACTTTAGCCCACTAGGTGGTAATGTTTAGTTCCATCCCCATGTCATACCTACCCCTCTAGCTCAGATTCTGCCTCTTCTTCCTTTGGCAGAAACCCTGGGCTTAGGTGTAAGGAAGTACAAGAGCCCTATTTGATAGTTTCAGAGTGTGACAGACCTAGCCATGGGAATGTGGTAAAAGCAGTTTGTAGTAATATGTCCATGTACAGGGGCTGGAGGCCCCAGCTTCAGGGGCACTGACCTCACCCAGTATCTCTGTCATTCAGCATTGTCCATGGAGAGCGGGGATCAGGCCACAAAGTTCTAAGATAAGAAGTCAGATAGGTCAGATCTTGACTTGAGTGCCTAAGGCCATACATAGTTCATGGGGTTCTTGTCTCCTGTGTTCTATGAGGCCAGCTATTTAATCCTAGACATACACATAGGATTAGCAGGGCATCTGACTTAGAATGCTGATCTAAGGATTCTCCATCATTAGACTGCTGCTCCTAGATTGTAGAGTCCTGCTCTTAGAGGGCTCCTCATGTGCCTCCTTCAGTAGAGGGTTAAAACTTGGAAGAGGCCAGGCGGTTGTGGTGCACACCTTTAATCCCAGCATTTGGGAGGCAGAGGCAGGGGGATCTCTGTGAGTTTGAGGCCAGCCTGGTCTACAGAGTGAGTTCCAGGACAGCCAGGGTTACAAAGAGAAACCCTGTCTCGGGAAAAACAAAGCAAAACAAAAACAAACAAAACCTTGGAAGAAATTGGGATGAAAAGCACGGCTAACTCCTCCAGAAGGAACAGGCTGTTGACAGTTCCCAGGGTTCCCATGGGACATGTTGGTCAGGGCCCTGAAGTGCTTATACCACATTTTGCAACACTGGCAGGAGCGGAAGCTGTGTGCTCACCCTCGGCTGGAGATCTACCTGCAAGACCAGATCCATTTCATGTGCCCACTGGCACGGCAAGGAGATTTCTATGTGCCAGAGGTGAAGGAGACAGAGCGGAAATGCCGGGGGCTTGCAGAGGCCAGTGACAGCCAGATGGATGGCACAGGTACCAAAGGTGGGAGAACTAGGGTGGAGCCCTACCTGGAGTCCCTCTTCTGTGCGTCTAAGGACACAGTTGAGGAGACTCCTCTGTCTAGGGAACTGGCCTTGTATGTGGACTCTCCTTGGCAAAGGAGGGAAGGTGATACCTTACATCAGGATCCACATGCAGAATTGCCTGTTCTGAGACAGGCACATCCGCATAAATGTGGATTCACACATTCCAGGTAACGAGGCCCTGTCTGAATTCCCTTCAGATGCAGTAGTAATTCTAGTAATCCTAGGCAGTCGGGTGGAAGTCGTCTGGGTAGGGCTTATCTGGAAGTGAGACTGGCCTAGGTCTAAAGGTAAGAAAGGAAGTGAGGTGTTCTCCTGTCTCCAGTATAGGGAGGGCTTCTTGTAGAGCCCTTGCAACCAGAGCCAGCCCATGCTGGTAGCTAGATTGCCCTAGGCATAGACCCACAAGCCATTTGCCTGTTTCCACCACCCCGCCATGATCTCGTGTGACACTCATGGACAAGGAACTCTGTTGGTAACATGTCATGTAATCCTAGGGGCCCCAATTTTTGGCTGTTCTGTTAGGTGACTCATAAAGTCTAGGGGTGATAACAGGGCTGTGGGGAAAAGAACTGTCCCTCTCCTTTACTTCTCTGGGAGTCTTTCTGCCCATCCAGTCTTCAACAGCCAAGGTCACTCTAGAGAGACATGTGTTGGCAGGGGCTGATGCAGGGAGGGTACTGGGAGGCAGTCTCTTCTCCCTTGGGGCTTGTGTCCAACATAGTTAACTTCATCTGCCACTTAATTACCTCCATGGGGTACTGCTCCCTTCTGTTTGGTAGTGCCCGGCAGATACTCTTTGTGCGCCTACTGTGGGCACTGGACATGGCACAAGGTCAGCAAGCCCAGGCATCCCCCACAGTCGGGAGGAGGAATGACTTGACCTTCCTACAACCTTCCTCTGCTTCCTGCCTCCTTGGCCCACCCACCCCAGTTCCCTTCCCTCCCAAACACTGCCTGCCAGGACTGTTAAAGGACGGCTTGGCACTCACTACATACAGCTGGCTGCAACCACAGCTCCCACACCCCTGAGGTCCTTGGCCTGTCCTCCCCACCAGTCTGCCCGCCTACTCCCTACTGTGGGTGCTGTGGGATCTGCCCACTTCTGACAGAGGCTGTCCTGACTCCCAGGGCAGTCACTCTCCAGGTGCATGCCACTTACACAGCAATGCATGGTGAGTGCCTGGCCACCCAAGGCTTGGCCTGTCCCTCCTTGCTTCCCTGCTGGGGCCCTGACTTGGACTGGCAGGTGAAAGGGGGTGATTAGCTGCCTTGTGCCTGTTATTACATTGATGTATTATTTAGCTCCACAGAAGCGATGAATATTTGATCTCGCATTGGCTGTTGGCAGAGGAAGAGGGAGGAACTGGGTAAAGGTAGTAGCTTCGCATCCCCTTGCCTAATAGCCCTGGGAATGCAGGTGCTCCTTTACTTTGCCTGGGGTCCTCTTTCAAGGGACACAGGCTCTTCAAAGGGACCTCCTCCCATATGGTTGTACCACTCCCTCCCTTGGAGAGCTCCTTTGTAAGTAGTGTCCGTCTGTTCCCAACAGCCGTCTTCATTTGTTGTTCCGAGCCTGGGCTGAAGGAAGCTGGCTTCTGACCACTCTTAGCCCAGGAGTGGGAAGAAGAGGCTGGTCCCTACACCCAGGGGTCTTGGGTGAGCCATTAGTGGGTGGGTAGATAGCACTTGACAGTAATGGGGTTGGGGAGAAACTACCCCCCTCCTTTATGCCTGTCAGCCCTTCAGCCCTTGGGACCCTGATCAGTGTGAGTGAGTGGAGAACTAGAGCCTGCCCCAGGGTCAGTAGGATCACCCATAACTCAGGTCTCTTCTGGCATGCGACTGGGAGCCACACCCAAGGCCCAGGGAAAGGAGGGTCGGGGCCAGCAGTCTTGCACTTCCAGGGCTCAGCTCACCTTGCTAGTATGGCCCAGAAGGCAGAATAGATTAGTGGAGCGGTGCCTTCTATTGTTTGCCCTCACTGCCCTAGGCCCCAGCTGAGGCTCAAGGACAGCTCTAGGCCAGTGTAAATACCAAGCAGTCCCCATCTGCTCCAGGCTCCAGGCCTTATTACCATGGAGACAGGCGCTGGGTGAGCTAGCCCACCCTCACCTTCCATCAGCTTTGACAGCTGTGTCTCTTTACTTGCACTTTGGATGAGGTGTTGGCCGTCTCCCAATCTGGAGTCCTGCACACAGTAGGCCCGCACTCTTTGTTCCTTAGCATCTTCCACTTGCATTCAGTGCCTCTGGTTGAGATGGACCAAGAGGTTGCTCCTGGACAGGGTTTGCAAAAGACCACTTACTTGGAGGACATACAAGGAATAGAAGGGGCAGATTAAAAAGCGTCAGAGGTTGTAGTGGGGACATGGTGGGTAAGGGTTCCCCTGAGTTCACTCAGGCATATGAGGAGAAAAATCCTTGAAACGCCTCATCCTAGTGCTCCTCTCCCTTTTGACTGGGTGAGTGTATCTCCAGAGTTCTTCATCCTCTTGCTTCAGCTCCTCCTTTATGTGGTGATACAATGTGGTTAGAGGCAGAAGCCAGCTGATGTCCTGAATATCTCTGCTCCTTGGGGGAGGCCTTTGTGGGGGTGTGGACTGGAAAGTAGTTCTCTTGGTCTTTTCTCCAGCCCCCTGCCTCTTGGGCAATGTTCTGTAGCTGTCTCTGGACAGCCTGGAAATGAATGGCAGAGAAGACACTATTTGGGTCTCCTTTGTTCTACCCTCAGCTCCTCACCCTCGGGCTGAGTGGCCCTTAATGGATGTGAGGGTAGGGGTCAGTGGCTTTGTACAAGTGCAAGGAACAGGAGGTAATTTAGGGTGGGGAGAGCCATGTACGGCCAGCTGCTCCTGTCTCCTGCTCTCTTCTTCCACCCTGCAAACTCCCTTGGCTCCATCAGTGCAGCCCCCAGCCAGGGCAGAGGGCAGAGGGCAGCTGGAATGGGCCTCCTGAGACAGGGTGGCTGTATTATTCATGAGTGGACGACACACGCTCATTTCCTGAGCTGGTGGTAGAGCCCTTGCCCTGACCCTGAAGGAAGGTACACTTGAAGATATGTGGTAGTTGCCTAACCACTGCTCCCTTGTCCTGGCCACAGGAGCTGACACAAGTGATGCAAGTTCTGTAAGCCTGGAGGTGCGCCCTGGCAGCCGGGAGACATCAGCCACCACACTTTCTCCTGGGGCAAGCAACCGTGGCTGGGATGATGGTGACAACCGCAGCGAGCACAGCTACAGTGAATCGGGTGCCAGCGGCTCATCTTTTGAGGAGCTGGACCTGGAGGGTGAGGGGCCCTTGGGGGAACCTCGACTGAGCCCTGAAGCCAAGCTTCTGGGGGTTACCCGGGAGCTCAGCACCCCTGAGAGGGATGAGGAGTAACCACAAGCCCTCGGCCCTCTTGTGGTGCGTTTGCTAAGGGACTGAGCAAACTCTCCAGCCCCCTTTTTCCTTGACCTGCCCAGCTTGGACCGGAAGTACCAGGAGCCTGAGTTCTCCTACCCCAAGCCTAAACCTCCTCACTGCCCTTTTGGCTCCCAGGGACAGAGGAGCCAGAGACTGTTATCTGCACCAGCCTCTTGGGTTGCTGACTTTTTTGCAGACTCATTGGAGCTTCCAGAACCCAGAATAAAGTGAATCACTTTCTTGTTTCACCTGGATTTGAGTCGTGCATTTGTTCTATCTTGTGGAGTGTTTGTGTATAGACTGGGATTGGGCTGGAGAGGAAGGAACATGATTGAGTCCTCTGGTCAGAGGGATATTGGAGGCCCTTCATTCATTCCCTGTTCTGTCACCCCAGTGGAGAGTCACCCCTGCATTGCAGCAGCCCTGAGGGCTCTCCTAGCTACTGGATAGCCCAGCAAGGAGTGCCCTCCAGGTTTCAGGAGTAGGGAACTCAGAGACTCTGTCTGCACCCAAGAAATGCCTTTGTGTGTGTAGTACCAGTGTGCCTGTGCTCATGCCGGGACCTTCTCAGCCGGTGAAGACATCCCTGCTGGGCCTGCCAGTGCCTTTGTTCCTGGGCATGTGTATACCATAGGGGAGGCTGTGTCCATGTGAGCTTCAGGATATGACTGTGGTTGGACATGGCTGTACGTGTGTGAGGATGGCTGTATGACTATGTGTGTATGTTGCTGTTCCTTCTGTTTATGTGGTTGCATTTATATACACATTATATATGTAAGGCTAGCTAGATGGAAGCATTTACATAGACCTTCTATAGACTGTTGGTGTGTTCGTGTGTGTACGGTTATATGTTTGTATGTAAAATTGTGTGCTTTACTCTGTCTCCATGTATAAAGCTATGAGTGTAGCTGTGTGTTGGGGCGGGCATGTTTGTGTGAATGTATATCCATATGTATGTACTGCTGTCGCTATGTGGCTAAGTATGTGTGTACTTGTATGTATATGTATGTACACAGATTTTTGGGTGTTGTCCACGTGTATAGTTATGGCTACATTTATATATCTGTAGCTGTATACCTAAGTACAGCTATGACTGTTTGGTGAAATATGTCCTTGTCTGTGTGCCTAGCCAGGAGCAGGGGCTACATAGCTGAGTGTCATCTGTGCTGCGGTGGGATATTGCAGCTTGCTGGCTGCAGGCCATGTGGTGGGCTTCTTGTGCCACTTCTGTGACATAAACGAGTGTAGAAAGTGCCGTGTCTTTGGTGAGGCTGCCTTGGTGAGTGGGCTGGAGGTATGGCTGGGATATCTGCAGCCTCTCACCTAGGCACCCTCCTGCTGTCCTCCCCTCTGTTCCAAGAGCCTGGCCCATCACTCACTCACCTCAGGGAGCAGTCTCTGTGAGCCAGCCAAAGGGTGAGAGCAGCCGGTGGCAGAGCTGGATCTGGCAGACAGTGTGTCTGTCTCCCCAGCTTCGTCTGACAGCTCCGAGCCCTCATCCAGCGACCACCTTCGTCTCCCATTAGTGGTTGGGCTTGTTTGTTTGGGTTCGATGTGTCTGTTTTGTTTAAAAGCTGTGTTAGGGGCATCCGGTTTCTGTGTCCAGGGAAAAGGCCTCTCTGTCTTCCCCCTCTTCCAAATGCCACATGCCCATGAAGGGAGGGATGCCTAAGGGGCTTGGCCATGGCTTTTCATCTGCACATATCTGAGCTTACCTTGCTTCCACTGACACCTGTGGAAGGCAGGTCAGTGCTGGAGGGCTAGGTAGGAGGAATGCTGTGCCCTGTTGGGTGTATGGATGCCAGGGCCAGACAGGACAAGCTCAGAGGCCAGATCTGAGCGCAGACTTCCTCAGATCCTCCAGAGCTTTTCCACCACCCCCTACCCAGGGGTGTCCTTCCCCATGCTGCCGTGGGAGGGAAGAGTCAAGAGCATCTTAGAGCTGTCCTCCCTCCGCTCAGGCTCCAGCTCCTACGCAGCAGCCAGTTCTTGGAGCCTTCCCTCAGCCACCTCCCCTTCTAACCCCCACTCCCTGCCCTTCTAACCCCTAACCTGGACCCAGCAGGTCCCTCAGGGTTAATCCCAGCCCTTTGCCCTGAAGCCCGTCCACCCCCATGGCCTGACACCTTTACGGTAAATGCCCTTTGCACATAAGAACAGAGATTCATGGGGGAGGGGCAGCAGCTTTAAAGGTCATCTACGGGAAGGAAGGGGAGGCCCCATCCTCTGACCTCCCCCTCCTCCTAATCTTTTCTTCCTAGTGACTCAGGCCTTAGCTCTTATATGGGGCCTGACTACTATGTAGACTGAGCTGCCGTCACTGGGTAGAAAGAAAGGTTGGGAAAACATCAAGCACCCCACCTGCCTCCTATGTACCCCTTTACCTATCTATGCTCCAGTGTTACCTCTCAATCCCAAGATCCACCTCTTAGTCTGTGGCATATAGGAACCCGTAACAATATTCTCACTGTGCGAGCTCAGTGATCTTCCCCCAGCCAGTGCCTCACACCCTGCTCCTGCCGGGTCGAGTCTGACTGAGGGGCAGAGGGGCCTGAGAGGCACCTGCTTTAGCGCAGAGTGAGAGCGCCCGGGGATTCAGCACCACACGCTGGACAGCTCCGGGCCCTGCGGATCTGTCAAGAGCAGGATCTGCTGGAGGCTGCTGGAGGCGCTGGGCTAGGAACCCAGGAGAGGTCCGGCAAAACGGGAGGTACAGGCCGAATTGGGGCGGGGGGGGGGGAAGGGGGGTGGACCAGGAGTCCGGAGGAACGGAGGAGGGGCCGGGGGCGGGCCGGGGCCGGGGGCGGGGCAGGCCGCGATTGAAAGCGGCTGGGCGGGCGGGCGGAGAGCGCAGAGCCAGCGAGAGAGCAGCAAGCGGGAACCGGAGCCCCGCGCCAGAGCTGGGCGCGCCAGGTAGGGTTAGCCTGTGGTGCCGTGGCCACTGCCAACCTTTTTAGCCCTGACCCCACATACCGGGACCCCGCGGGTCCTCGAGTTCTGGAGCATTCTGACCGAGGCATCCAGGCAGCGCTTTCTGGGAGCTCCAGGAAGCGGGAAGACCGTCCTGGGCACCCCGCCTTTCTTCCCAAGAGAACGCACGCCCTGCATCGCGCTTCCCAGTTCCTCCGGCTTCACCGTCCTCTAGTCCTTCTTTCTGTCTGTGTCTCTGTCTTTGTCTCAGCCTCTAAGATTCGCTCGCCTTCTCAGATTTGTGTGGTCCTGCCTTTCGGCTGGACTCCCAGGTTCTCGCCCCTTCTCTGCCTCAGCTTCCATCAGGGCCTCCCCTGGGTTTCTGCCCCATCTGTGTTAGTCTTCACCCCTGATTCTCTCTCCTGTTTGCTGGCTGAGCTGCTTCTTTGGGCTCCCAGGCTCCCAGTTCCCCTGCCCTGGCACCAGCAGAAGACTAGTCCGATGAGAAGCCTTAGTCTTTGTGGCCAGGACGGGGGTCCTTGAACTAGTTGCTGTCCTCTTAAGCTGGAGTTTCCTTTCCAATCTCGAAGAAAGATGTGCCCCTCTCCCAGTCAGCATGATCTCAAGAGCCTGCCTTTGTAGGGTTGAAAGGTGGATAATTAGGATGCAAGCTAAGAGGATGGGAGGGGAACTCTAAGGCTGGCCAAAGGCTGAGAAGGCTAAGGCTGGAAATGATAGTTGTGGCCTTGGAGTGAGTGAAGAGAGACAGAGACGCTAAGTCTCCAACAGCTTCCCGTGTAAAGCTTGGGCATCTACAAATCAGCTCCACCCCTGTTCAGAGGTCTTGCCAGGTTAATTGTTCCCCACCTGTGACACACATACATCCACATCTATTTCCTTTGCTGACTTGAGACCTTTAACTACATGGTACCTTCTCCGGGGTCAGTCCCCCCTCCTTGCTGTCTCATTGCCCCGAGAGTCTCCATTTCTTTCTCATTCAGGAGGCTTGGGGACTGGCCCTTTAAGAACCAAAGTCTAGGACTCTGGGTGTTCCCCCTGGTCTTCAGTTTCTCTTGGGCTGGCAACTATCCCATAGGGATTCTTCACTCCCTGTGATGGATCTTCCAGTGCCCCTGCACTGGAAACCCAAGGCTCAGGATGGGAGCCAGGCCCCTCAGTATGTAACTGCCATGACCTCAGCCACTACTGTATGGGTCTCCTAGGAGGTTAGCATAGGCCCTTTGGTTTATGTAGGATTTGGCAATGGAAGGATCCCCTACCCTCTGCCTGGGTCCCCACTCCCACCCTGCCTGCCCTTTGCTGAGTTTAGTAGGGACACCAAGCCCATCTCTAGCCAAGATTAGAGCAAAGCTGAGAGACAGACCTATGGGGGTAGGCCAGGAGCTTCTCAGCATAGTTAGTGACATCACCCTCCTCATGACTCCTGAGTGCCTGGGAAGGGTATGCAGGGAGGGACAGAGTCAGAGGGGAGGCTGGAAATAAAAGGGGACAGCCACACTCTGGTTCTACTTTTCCCGTTTGTCTGTCTCTCTATCTCTCTGCAGGAGCTGGCCCCTCCTCATCTCTCTTCCTGTCTGTCCTTTCCTGGCCCCTGTTTCCTCCTCTCTTTGCCTCTGCTGAGCCCATCCTCATTCCTTGAAGACCCTGGTCTGCTGGACCTAACCATCCCCTTTGGGGCCATGGGATCACTGCTTGGGTTTCTGGCACTGCTGCTGCTGTGGGGTGCTGTGGCTGAGGGCCCGGCCAAGAAGGCGCTGACCCTGGAGGGGGACCTGGTGCTGGGTGGGCTGTTCCCAGTGCACCAGAAAGGTGGCCCAACAGAGGAATGCGGTCCTGTTAATGAGCACCGTGGCATACAGCGCCTAGAGGCCATGCTTTTTGCCCTGGACCGCATCAACCGCGACCCCCACCTGCTGCCTGGTGTGCGCTTGGGCGCTCACATCCTCGACAGCTGCTCCAAGGATACTCACGCTCTGGAGCAGGCACTGGACTTTGTGCGCGCCTCACTCAGCCGTGGTGCTGATGGTTCACGCCACATCTGTCCTGACGGTTCCTATGCCACGCATAGCGACGCTCCCACAGCCATCACTGGTGTCATTGGTGGCTCCTACAGTGATGTCTCCATCCAGGTATGTAGAAATCACCCAAATGGGCATTAGGAAGGGGGGCTGGGAAGGGTGATCCAGCATTCCTGACGAGCAGGGACTTTCTGGATGGAAGCATTGGAAGGGTACCAAGCATCATCCTTTTAGTAGTTTCTTACAAAAGGGAAAGAAAGTTCCCTGGCCATGTAATACGGTCTGTTTCTAAAGATTGTGTAAGAGAAACTCCTCTCAGGGAGGGAGAGGAGAGAAAACAGAATCATCCCGTTACACACGCACACACACACACACACACACACACACACACACACCCTGATAGATATTAAATGTCCCCAAAGCATTACTCGGTAGCCTCTGAAGTCAGTCTCAGGACTGAATCCTGGCTCCCCATCGTACTAATTACATGACTCTGGGCAGATTCTTTTTTCTATGTCTCAGCTTCCTCTTTATTAAATAAGATTAATGACACTTTCTACTTTTACATCTGTAGTAGAAATTTCATGAGGTGAGTGTGTATCACAGGCCCTGGCAGGTCATAAGGGCATAGTCAATGTGCGCTGCTGTCAGTATTAACCCATTTTATAGGAAAGCAAGAAAGCAGGTTCAGGGGGAAGCGGGTCATAAATCAATGCGGTAGCAAAAATGAAGTGTGAAATCAGGGCTCCCGTCTAGTCTGCCAGGTCATTTCTATCTGGGTTCGCAGGGTAAACAGACAGAAGCCCGGAGCAGCCAGAGAAACGAGGTGAGAGTGTAGAGGAGCTTAGCCTTCGGTCTCCATCAGGTGGTGCAGACTAGGAGGGAGGAGGAAGGCTGGGGACCCCACCAGCACACTCCTTCTTCCACAAGGGGTCAGCAGAGGGTGCCCCGGCTAGGCTTCAGCTGCCGATCCAGCAGACTTGCCACTGCGCTCTAGAATGCTGGCCTCACTTGGCTGCTTTGGCCTAGCTGGGATCTTCCTCCTTACTGACTGGGTCTCCCCACCCATGTCCTCTCCTGTCGGTGTCCAGTATAGATGCAGAGAGATCACAGCAGAACTTGAACCAGGGCTGGGAACTATCTGGGGACCTTGGTGAGGGTCTCAATTTCCTTAGGAGACGTTATTGCCATTGAAGTGCTACTTAGCCCCCTGACCTGGGATGATTGTTTAGGAGAGATGAAACAGAGTCAGGAGCTGTAGGACCCAGTGGAACCTGTCTTTGCTAATCCCAGCTAGCGGAGGTGTTAGTGGCTGCTTAGGTGTGGCCATGCCAGCATCTATGTCTGTAGTCCTGGCTTTGACAGGGATGGGTGGGCAGCCTCCTGTGACTGTCTTCAGGGGACTCTGGGGTACTTTACCAGCAACTCCCTTTCCCACGGTTTTCTCCAGGGCACCATGCACGTGTCTCCAGAAGCACAGTCGCCTCCTTGCCATCCCAAGCCACCTTTCTCTAGCAGGGCCCGTCCTTCAGGGTCAGGCTGCTTTTTTCTCTTGTTCTGCTCAGCAGAGGCCCAGCCTTTAGTCCTTAGATTATGCTGGCCCATTAATGATTCCCCCTCATCCTAGTCCTTGAACATGTCACAGATGGTTTCAACTGCTCAGCAACGTGCGACTCAAGCATGAGAACCCAAGGCTCAGGGGGATTTTTGTTAGAGGGGTACTGACGACGAAAATGTGTGAGGAGCTATTTGAGCTCTAGGCCACTTGAGAGCCTGTATCCCAACCCCGGGGTCTTGGCCCTTTCCTGTAGGACTGAACTTCCATTTACCCACCATCAGCGAAGCTCTCAATGGACCCCATTCCCGTGGTCAAAGGTTAAGAAATGGGTGCCAGACACTCAGTAGTAGAGCAGGGAGCCGTGTTCAGGCTTAGGCACCCACCTGAGACCAGCTTGAGCTTCCTGGGCCATGGACCCTTGGATCTAGGCCTTTCTTCTGGGGGTGACATTTCTCCAGCCTCTCATGAGATTGGGACTTAAGAAGGGCTACCTACACCAAACAAAAAAGAGAGATTGGCATCTTTGAGTATCCCAGATGCCACCCACTGTCTCTCTCTACTTATGCAGCCAAGTGCCAACCTCTGTCCGCCCCAGGCCTTCCTTGGTTCAGGTGCAGCTCATGGCCATGGCTGTTCTCCCTCTGAGTCCCTTGGGGAGGAGACAAACCCCTGGTCCCTAGGCAGAAGACACATCAAGTTCAGACTCATAGATAGGGAACCCTCACAGGTAACCTGTGGACACTTGGTTCGAGGATTCCATAGGTACGGGGACTGACTCTAGCGCTTGTTTAAACTGGTCTCTGACCTTTTCTCCATGTCTACCCTTGCCCAGGTGGCCAATCTCCTGCGGCTGTTTCAGATCCCACAGATCAGTTACGCCTCCACCAGTGCCAAGCTGAGCGACAAGTCCCGTTATGATTACTTTGCTCGTACTGTGCCCCCTGACTTCTTCCAGGCCAAGGCCATGGCTGAGATTCTCCGCTTTTTCAATTGGACATACGTGTCTACGGTGGCATCTGAGGGTGATTATGGTGAGACAGGCATTGAGGCCTTTGAGCTGGAGGCTCGTGCACGAAACATCTGCGTGGCCACTTCGGAGAAGGTGGGCCGTGCCATGAGCCGGGCAGCCTTCGAGGGTGTGGTTCGAGCCCTGCTGCAGAAGCCCAGTGCCCGAGTCGCTGTGCTCTTCACCCGGTCTGAGGATGCCCGTGAGCTGCTTGCAGCCACCCAGCGCCTCAATGCCAGCTTCACCTGGGTGGCCAGCGACGGCTGGGGAGCCCTGGAGAGTGTGGTAGCAGGCAGTGAAGGGGCTGCGGAGGGCGCCATCACCATCGAGCTGGCCTCCTATCCCATCAGCGACTTTGCCTCCTACTTCCAGAGCCTGGATCCCTGGAACAACAGCCGGAACCCCTGGTTCCGTGAGTTCTGGGAAGAACGATTCCACTGCAGCTTCCGACAACGAGACTGTGCAGCCCACTCACTGCGGTCTGTGCCCTTTGAACAGGAGTCTAAGATCATGTTTGTGGTCAACGCCGTGTATGCCATGGCCCACGCTCTGCATAACATGCACCGTGCCCTCTGTCCCAACACCACCCACCTCTGTGACGCCATGAGACCTGTCAATGGGCGCCGCCTCTACAAAGACTTCGTGCTCAATGTCAAGTTTGACGGTAATAGCTCTGGCCAGTGTCTGCTAGTCTGATGGCCTTCAGGTTTTATTTCTTGGCTAAGGAGACGTAGGAAGTAACAGAAGGACATAGTCAGGGGCTGTGCTAGTTAGGACAAAGGGACCGTAAGCAGAGGACCCCAGCTGGAGTCAGGACTGAGGTTCCACTTTTTTGAGAATGTTCCAGAAAGTGTAATCTGGACTGGTCCTGATTCTAAGATCCCTGGCTACTGCTTGGACATTAACCTCTAGCTTTTGCCTCTTTATCTGGCCAGGGAAACCCAAGAAATTCCCAGACAGAGTGAGAGTCTAAATCAGGGTAGGTTGAGGGTGTACCACATGGAAGATATCCTATTTAGGTGAAACTTCTATTATTAATCTTGATGGGTTTTGTAAACCTATTTTTTTGTTTTTGTTTTTAAATAAGGTCACGCTATATAGACTAGACTGGCCACAAGCTCACTGTGTGGCCCAGCATAGCTTCAAACTCATGGAATTCTTTTTCCTCAGCTTCTCAAGTGCTGGGGTTATAGTATGCACCACCACACCCATCCTAAGCTTGATTTTTCTACCCAAAGTAGCCAAGTGTTCTCAAAGAAAAAGTTTTAAGAAGAGCAAGAGCCTCAGAACCACTGTGCTTGGTTTCAGGAAGACTCTTTGAGGGTGCAGTGGGAGAAGCCACCAGAACTGGCACTTAGAATCTGGTCAAGACAAGAGGACAGTTGTCTTCAGCAATAGGCTGATTCTAGGATCTCTGTGGGTACCAAAGTCTAAGGGTGCTGATCCCTTATCTGAAACATCATAGAACTTCCAAATAACCTTCACTCATCTTCCTGTTGCTTTAACTGATCATCCATATCCCAGGAATCCAACTTGGGTCATCAGGCTCGAAAGCAAGGCCTTTATTTGCTGAGCCATCTTACCAGCCCGTAACTGAACGTTTAAAGTAAATGTTTTTGCTAGTTGCAATGGCTCATGCCTCTAATCCCAGAACCAGTGGGCTGATGCAAAGGGAGTGCTATGAACTCAAGGCCAACTGGGCTACAGAGTGAGACTCTCAAAAACAAAAGATACATCAATTTTTTTCTGGTTTGGAGTTGGCCAGCTCTGTAGCTGTGGAACCTGTGTTGAAAGTAATTCCACTAAGATCAACACCCAGAGTAATCATAGGATCAGGCAGGGGTTTGAGCTAGAGCCTGGGGTCTCATGGAGTTGATGCTGGAGTTTTTGCTGGGCCTGGGTGTAATTTGTGGTTGTGCAGAGTGGAAGAAGCAGGGGCTGGGCAGATGCCAATCAGTACTGCTCACTTATGAGGCCCTCGGCATCTCATATGCTGGCTGGAGCCCTGGTTTCTCACTGGATCAAGGGTGGCTGTAGTTGTGCCTCTAAGCCTAGCTGGGTGACAGGAGGCTATAAGGGGACAGAAAATGGCAGTGGTTCTTCTGTGGAAGGCTGTGGGCAGGTGGCCACTGTGGTTGGGATTCTGTTTTACAATGGACCAGTTAGTACTAACTGGGGCTGGAATGGGTGTTGCAACTAGAGACCGGGTTTGGCTTTGGGATCTCTGTTAAGTTTTTAGGAGAGAGCAATGTTGTGTGTTGTGATAAAGTTAAGAGCTTGAAGTCTAAAGTCTACGATTGGGTTTGGCAAGTCATAACAGGATTGGTACGAGCCCATTTGGGGCTTAGGGTGGTGAGAACCAAGGTTTGATGCTGGAGTCTAGGGTTATAGTTTGTTATAAACCGTCTTAGAAAAATAGCTGGGGTTAAAATAGGCTCCAGTGTCAGAATGAGGTAGCCTTAGCTCCGGGGTTCAGGTTGCATCTGAGGGTGAAGGGTGAGGTCACATCAGAGTAACACACCATTCTAACCTCTTCTCTCTTCCATCTCAGCCCCCTTCCGCCCAGCGGATACTCACAACGAGGTCCGGTTTGACCGCTTTGGTGATGGAATTGGCCGCTACAACATCTTCACCTATCTGCGGGCGGGCAGTGGGCGCTATCGCTACCAGAAGGTAGGCTACTGGGCAGAAGGTCTGACCCTGGACACTAGCCTCATCCCATGGGCCTCCCCATCAGCCGGCCCCCTTCCTGCCTCTCGCTGTAGTGAGCCGTGCCTTCAGAACGAGGTGAAGAGTGTGCAGCCAGGTGAGGTCTGCTGCTGGCTCTGCATCCCCTGTCAGCCCTATGAGTACCGGCTGGATGAGTTCACCTGTGCTGACTGTGGTCTGGGCTACTGGCCTAATGCCAGTCTGACTGGCTGCTTTGAGCTACCCCAGGAGTATATCCGCTGGGGTGATGCCTGGGCAGTGGGACCTGTCACCATTGCCTGCCTAGGTGCCCTGGCCACCCTCTTTGTGTTGGGTGTCTTCGTGAGACATAATGCTACACCCGTGGTCAAGGCCTCTGGTCGAGAGTTATGCTACATTCTGCTGGGAGGTGTCTTCCTCTGCTACTGTATGACATTCATCTTCATTGCCAAGCCTTCCACGGCAGTATGCACCTTACGGCGCCTCGGTTTGGGCACTGCCTTCTCTGTCTGCTACTCAGCCCTCCTCACCAAGACCAATCGCATTGCTCGAATCTTTGGCGGGGCCCGGGAGGGTGCCCAGCGGCCACGCTTCATCAGTCCTGCCTCACAGGTGGCCATCTGCCTGGCACTTATCTCAGGCCAGCTGCTCATTGTTACTGCCTGGCTGGTGGTGGAGGCACCAGGCATAGGCAAGGAGACAGCCCCTGAGCGGCGGGAAGTAGTGACATTGCGCTGTAACCACCGTGATGCAAGCATGCTCGGCTCGCTGGCTTACAATGTGCTCCTCATTGCTCTCTGCACGCTCTATGCCTTCAAGACCCGAAAGTGCCCGGAGAACTTCAATGAAGCCAAGTTCATTGGCTTCACCATGTACACCACCTGCATCATCTGGCTGGCTTTCCTTCCCATCTTCTACGTCACCTCCAGTGATTACCGGGTGAGCCGTCTGTTGCAAACTGGGAGGGGGTGGGACCCTGGAGCCGCTCTTTCCTAGGATCTCATCTTACCTACTGTCAACTCTAAAGTTTCAAGAAGCCAAATGGTGAGCGGTTTAAGGGAGAAAGAAAGCTTGGAGAAATGCCCAGGGAGGTGGGAACTTGGGGTGTGGGGAGAGGCCAGGACTCTGATGCCATCCCCTATCCTGAGAAGAGCTGGGGCTGCAGAAAAGTGTTCCTGAGTGTAGGCCCTGCCTCGTTCCGGTGAAGGTCGTCTCCAGACGGAGGAGGGGGTGATCAACAAGTGAAGAAAAGCAAGGGGAGGGGAGGAGCCGCAGGAGGAGGGCTGAGGAAAATTAAAGCAGGTGACAACTGTACTCCAGTTGGTGGCTTTCAAGCAGCAGCTACTTCAGAGGAGATGGCCTGGGAAGGTCTCTCTGAGGAGGTGGCAGGTGAGCTGAGCTCTGAGTAATAAGACGGTTATCTTGGTTAATCCTCATGACTCAAGTAAGTCCCACAGCTCCCCTGTTTAACTGATGAAGCAGAGACTCGGGGAACCAGTCCCAGGCTCCACTCACTCAGCGTGGGAGTCCAGAGCAGGGTCTAAACTGGTGGTCTTAACAATGAAAGGAACTGGGAAACTATGGCAAAAGCCCTGTCGTGGGTCCTTTCCCCAAGGCAGAGGTGTGGGGGTGCACCGCTGGGGGCGGGGGGTTGCTGGGCTTGGCTTCTCTGCTTGCACCTGCTGGACCACCTGCTTGGGTAGTGGAGGCCAAGGCTGGGGAGGGAATCTGCTCTGACTCAGCCTGTATTTGCATATGATTTGCATTTGCATGCCAGTCATAGGCAACTAAAGACTCACCAGAGATTCACAGTAGTCAACCATGCATGCACACACTTGTGCACAGACTCAAATGCCTGCATATGTGAAGATGCCTACACGTTCCCTTATACACGTACAAGTGTGTGCACACACATCCTGGCACACGCAGAACACACACAAACCTTGTCCACGGGTACATCCCTCTCCTCCCACAAGCATGTGAACATACTCCTCTGCAGACTCATTACCACACACATACACACACACACACACACACACACACACACTGATATGCATGCATCTACACAAATGTACTCCATACCTGCACGCCTTGCATGCATTCATCCCTATGCACACACACACCCTTTCATGTTCACAACACAGCTAGAATCCTGGTGTGCCTCGGGAAACGAGAGCTGGGGCTGGCACTGGGATTGTGACCATCCTCCTTTGAGGCTTTCCAGGGGACTGTTCAGGGGAAGCTTACTATTTTTCCTTGCCTCAGCCTAGGGAGGGGTCATAGACCCAGGTGCTTGGAAGAGCCTCTGTGACCTGCGCCTGTTCATTCACAGGTACAGACCACCACCATGTGCGTGTCGGTCAGCCTCAGTGGCTCTGTGGTGCTCGGCTGCCTCTTCGCACCCAAGCTACATATCATCCTTTTCCAGCCACAGAAGAATGTGGTGAGCCACCGGGCACCTACCAGCCGCTTTGGCAGTGCTGCCCCCAGGGCCAGCGCCAACCTTGGTCAAGGTCAGCATCCTAGACCCTCCCCTCCTAGGCCTCCTCTCCTGCCTAGCTCCCAGGCATGAAGTCCGCTCCCCAGGCCTGGACACATGGTGGATGTTCACCTCCATAGCCCTATTTCTCCTGCTGCCTCTTGGGGTGAGTCCCAACCTCTGGTTACCTTTCCCTAGGGTCTGGATCCCAGTTTGTTCCTACTGTTTGCAACGGCCGTGAGGTGGTAGACTCAACAACATCGTCGCTTTGAAGATCCCAACTCCTGCCCTGACATGGCTGCTCCCAAACCCGGTGTAGACCTCTCCCACGGCCAGGAGGAAGTTGGCTGGAGCAGTGCAATAGCGCCCACCCCATGCCTGCCCCTAAAGTCACTTACCCACCTACCGAGTCCCCAGCCCTTTAGGTAAGAAGCCAGGGTCCTTAGCTGGGGAGCCTCTGCAATGGCCACTAACTGTCCTTGTAGCTACACCCCGTGTTTGCCAGGCCTGGGACTCCAAGGGGAGAGTCAGTGTCTACTGTACTCTAGAACAATGTGGCTGAGGATGGCAGGCCCAACCCCCGTCAGCAAAGGTGCTTCCAGTCCAGCCCCTGCCCAGGCCTTTTTAATTTTTTATAAGTTACTCTGGGATGGAGAGGATGGCGATCGTGGGGATCATCCCCTCCCCCTCCCCTCCCCGCCCAGTAGTTTGTCCCGTGGTTTATTTTGTATTATCTGTAAATAAAGTGTCTTTATTTAAACATTTTTGTTTTATTTCATAGACAGGCCCTCATGTATACCAAGCTGGCCTCAAACTTGCTGAGTGGCTGAGGATGACTGTAAACTTCTGGCTGCCCGCCTCCACATCCCACAGCCTGGGATTACAGGCGTGCAGCCTTATGCCTGGTTCTTAGGAAGGAATTTTATGTGTGCTAGGCAAGGCACAATGCTGCCAATGAGCTACATTTCCAGCCCATGTCTTTTTATTGCTAATTATCAGTGTGGGGGGGGTGTGAGGGGTGTGGGGGTGTGTGTGTGGGTATGGGTGTGTGTGTGGGTGTGTGTATGTTGCCTGGTTGTAGCGTTTCTTTTTTGTCTTTGTTTTCTGTTGTCGTTGTTGGGTTTTGGGAGGGGGAGGGCAGGTTGAGTCAAGGTCTCTCTACTCTCTTTGTGGTCCTTGGTTGGCCCAGAGTTCACTATATGTAGACCAGGCTAACTTTAAACTCAGAGAGATCTACCTGCCTCTGCCTCCCAAGTGCTGGGATTAAAGGTGTACGTGTAGGTCTCCTACACCACATGTAGTGCTCACGGAGGCCAGAAGACAGCATCAGATCCTGTGGGGCTATAGTTACAGCCATGTAGTTGCCATGTGGGTGCTAGGAACTGAATTTGAATTCTCTGAAAAAGCCCCAGGTACTCTTAACCATTAAGGCCATTTATTTATGTTCCTTTGATTGTTTGTTTGTTTAAAAATAACTCTGACTTGGGGGCTCCCTTCCTCAATCTTTCCAATATTCATTCTGCTAATGCACGTTCACCCTGGGCTGTGCCCAGTGCTAGAGCCTGGCAGCCACCAAGGCAGACTCAGCACTGCTGTTGGGTATAGAGACTGAAAAGGAGTCAACTGTCCCTCTTTGAAGGGGCCATTGAAGACTGATCAACACCCTCTAGAATTATCTGGTCCTCTAGGACGCTTTTCCTCAGAGACCCAACCTACAGCACAGTGTGGGAAGTGGGACACAGACAGTGGACTTTTCCTGACTGGCTGACTGGAATTTGGACAAGCCAGAGCCAGGGTGAATGTATGATGCGAAAGGGAGCCAACAACAGGCCTGGGACTGAGTATTACTCGTTCACAGGTATGTACAAAGCCAGACGGGAGCTTCCAACGAGGGGGTGAAGCAGGGGGATGCAGACACTGGGCTGGAGAGGCCATCTGTGGATGGGTCTGGCATGAAGCCGTCAGAAAAGTGTCTCTGGAGGACTTCTGGCCTGAAGGCTTGGTGGCTGAGCCTGGCATGCCTCAGGCATCTACATGTTTGCCTTCTGGAACTGACCAGTAGAGGGCTCCAAGGCACAGCCTCAGCTTCTGCTCCCAGGGCAGGCCTCAGCAGCTCTCCATGGCCCTGCGGGTGGTGAGCACCTAGCTGGAAGAATATGGCTACCCCAGTCAGGGACAAAATCCAGGGAGAGAAAACCAGCCAGAGACATTTATTTTTCAAATGAACTAATTTGTATCAGTGGGCTGGTGAGTTTCTGGAAATTAGGGTTAACAGTTTTTAAAAAGTGGGGAAAAAATGAAAAAAGATAACTTCAGGAATGGTTTCTCCTCAGCCAACACATTGGGTGGAAGGATAAAAAAATGGGATATTCAGCTAGCTGTGGAAGTCATAAATAGAGAACACATTTTTTAAAAATAGATATATGTCCCACAAAGTGTTTAGGAAATACCTTTACTAAAATTCTTTATTTCTTATATAAAATAATAGCTTTTCTTTCTTTTTTTTGTTTTGTTTTTCAAAACAGGGTTTCTTTATGGCTTTGGAGGCCTCGAACTCATGGTGATCCACCTTCCTCTGCCTCCCGAGTGCTGGAATTAAAGGTGTGTGCCACCACTGCCTGGCTAGCTTTTCTCATTTATCCTGAACCTCTTGTATTTTCATCAGCTCATGTTGCCGAGACTATCTAAGTAGCTGGAATAGAGATGCTGTCTCTGTGGTCCCAGGGAACATAGGCTTGTTCCCAAGGGCAGCCATCCCTGTTTCCAGTATGTCATTTTTTGCTTTTTCCTGTGTCCTCCACCCAGAGGGCATTTGATTTCACTCTGAGCCCCTGGAAAGCTAAGAATGCCTTTGTTTGTATCACTCAGGGATCCCCTTTTTAGTAATTAGTATTGTTGTCATGGGCACCATCTGAGGGAAGAAGGAGAACCCAAAGTCTAGGAATCTGGAGAGAAACAAGGAACGGGTGGAGAATTCCTAAGCCCTGATGTCTCAAGTGTCCACTACACCTTTCTTCCTCTGGTCTCCCCTCCCCTGCCCTGTGGGTACAAGCTTCATGATTATAGTCTGTGGCCACCCCTCCCCCACTCTATAGTGCTGGGGCAGTGAATCTGTGTGTGTGTGTGTCCGTGCGCATGCATGTGTGCTCAAACATGCATATCAAGGTCATAGGTCACATGGGGTGACCATCTCTTTTGGGACAGCTTAACCTAAAAATCACTGATTATAGGTAGGTGAGTCCCGGGACCTGTAAGCCTCTGCTACTCCAGTGCTGGGATTATAAGCAAAGCCACCACACCTCGATTTTTCTATGGGCTAAGGATTGAACACAGGCTTGCATCGCAAATACTTCACTGGCTGAACTATCTCCCCAGCCCCATGGACAGTGAATCTCAATTCTCAGTTCTTACTACAAATTATAAAGCTCAGGCCATGTCATCTCATCCTGAGTCCTACTTCCTGTGTCCTGGGTTTATGTCTCTTATTCTTCTTTCCAATGCCACATCCCACATTCCACAGAGCCTTAACACCTCTACTTGAAAAGGGACAGGAGCATAGGGTCCCCACCAGGTTTGTTTCCACTAAGCTTGGAGTCCTCCAATCAGCCTGTTCATTGTGGGCTCAGAGGACCAGATACCAGGCATTTGCAATTCCTCCCCAGAAATGTCCACCCCGGTAAACCGACCATCTGACTGTCACCCCACATGCTTTGCTTAAAGAAGCAGAGTTCCCAGCAGTACGGGTGTTTCACTGATGGCTTTGTTCAGACCCTCCCAGCTCCAATCCTGTCCTGCATCTGTCCCTTGCATTGGCCCTGTGAAAACATCAAGGAAGTCCTTCTGTCTCGTGGGCCCGCTGACCCTTCCCCAAGTCACTTGTGGGAGAGTGACTGAGGCATCTCAGATCCCCAAGGCCTGGTATGGCGGAGTAGGGGATGGTCACATCACCGGGGCAGTTCTGATGATAGATGTTCCCCTACATTTTAGCCCTGTCTAGGAGCACACCCTTGAGACAATAACTGTCTAAGAAGGGAGATGGCAGCAATATACTGAGCAAAGGTGTGGTGACAAAAAGAATGACGTGGAGTCAGGGATAGAAGTCAAACTCTCCCATCCCCCAGCATCCCTGGGTGGATAGATTTCCCTGAGTGGCACTCGGGCACTCACCTTCCCCATGCTGTCCCATCCCAGCCACTCTGTCTTGCCTCCTCTACTACTGTGAAGCTCATAGGAGGGAAGGGAAAGGAGATTTTGTCAAGGGCCTCAAACCCCTCCTGAAATGTCTCCACTCCAAGTCTCAGCAGAGAAAAGGAAAAAACCCACTGCTCCTGTTCCCATGGGCCCATTAATCATGATAAGGTGAAGTGTTCTCAGTATCAGAGAGAGAGGCTAGCTCTGGGGACAGCAGGGCCAGGAGAAAGGGAGAGATGAAAAAGGGGGTGGGGAATGGGGAAGATGGGAATGAAACCCTGAGAACTCTTACCAAGATGTCAGGACTGATGACGGTGATGATGGTGATGGTGGGGATAGTGACTGGATGGGGATGGTGACTGGATGATGGGGATGATGAAGATGGGGATTATGATGGGTGGTGATGATGGGGATGATGATGGTGGTGACAGTAGGATGATGGTGATGGTGATTGTGATTGTGATGATTATGTGATGATGATGATGGTGATGAAGATGGGAATGGTGATGGTGATTGGATGATGGGGTTAGTGATTGAATGATGGAGTGATTGAATTATGGGGATGGTGATGGGGATGAAGGTAGTTGTAATAATGGGGATGGTGGGGATGGTGACAATAGGAATGGTGACAATGGGGATTGTGATGGTGGAGTTGGTGTGGTTGGAAAGAAGGTGGCCCCCATAGGGAGCAGCACTATTAGGAAGTATGGCCTTGTTGGAGGAAGTGGATCACTGTGGGGCCAGGCTCTGAGGCCTCTTTTGCTCGAATGACCCTCAGTTGGCTTCCTGTTGCCTGCAAGATGCAGCACTCTCAGCTGTTCCAGTGCCGCCTGCGCGCTGCCGTGTTCTCTGTCCTGATGACAATGGACTGAACCTCTGCAACTGTGAGCTGCCACCCCAACTAAATGTTCTCTTTGTAAGAGTTGCTGTGGTCAGCCGGGCGGTGGTGGCACACACCTTTAATCCCAGCACTCGGGAGACAGAGGCAGGCAGATCTCTGTGTGTTTGAGACCAGCCTGGTCTACAAAAGCTAGTTCCAAGACAGTCTCCAAAGCCACAGAGAAATGCTGTCTCAAAAAACAAAACAAAACAACAACAACAAAAAGAGTTGCCGTGGTCATGGCGTCTCTTCACAGCAATCAAAACTCAACTAAGACAGGTGACAATGATGGTAATATGATGATGATGGTGGGGATGATAATGATAATGATTGAGACAGCATCTCATTATATAGCCCTGGCTGTCCTAGAATTGATGTAGACCAGACTGGCCTTGAAAACAGAGATCTGCCTGCCTCTGTCTCCTGAGTGCTGGCATTAAAGGATATTTCACCATTCCTGGCTTAGGATTGCTTTTTTTCCCCCTTTTCTTACTTTTTTTAGGAAAAAAGATAATTTTCCAGTATATACTCCCTGTAAATAGTTTAAGCATTGCAGAAAAGTACAAAAAAGAAAATCAAAGTATTGCCTCAAGTTTCATGATTCAAATATAACCGTCATTAACATTTCTGGTACAGCATGCTAGACATATTTCTATGCATTTTTACAGATAGGAGAGATAGAAATACTT